TTAAACAGCTTTAAGAAATTAAATCATGATAAATTAATGCTGACAGTATTTTTATATACTCTTGTTAGAAATTGTTTGAAAAACATTTTAGTTAAGCTAAGAGGAATGCGCTGTTTAGCATAGATTTTGCAGGACTCTATCCTCTAATAATGAGCATTTCATAATTCTTTTTGCTTTGCCCTATTTTTAAAATCAATTGTTTCTGCATAAAACAACCAACAAAATTCCTTTAAAAAATCCCTGAGTAAACTTTTTTCAGTCAGAAAAGAGTAAAGCTGAATAACTACATTTCTCTAAATATAGTTTAATGTTTAATTCATTCAGTTTGAGAATCAGCTTGGTAGATCACAAGCTATTTATCATTTTAGAATATTTCATTGAATAAGTATATTATGCAAATATAAATTCCATCTCACTTGTTCAGTTATATATTATTTCACTAACATTTTTATTTTTTTCTTTTTTGGGAGGCAAAACAAATGTTTAGTGTTATTCACACATTATTACCTCAAACTATTTTAGATAATGCAGCAAATGACTATCATTTGGGATCAATGCCCCAAAATCCAAAGCCAGGTTTTTTTCTTTTCCTATGAGATGCTAGAATGATGACCCTTATAGCCCTGTTGATTTTGCAGGTTTGTATTTAGTCTTGCTTTATTAAATGAAAGTGATTCATTCCTGTCTGATCTCTCTCTTCTTCAATATAAGGAAGTTGGAAAATAGCTGCTGAATAATTTTTCTTGAAAAAGCCAAGTGTTGGTATGATGGTATATTAATCATATATATGAGCAGGAGTTCACTACAGGGCAAGCAGTAATTTCTAGGACCGGCTTTTAAACTGTTTGAATATTACCAGGTTTCAATATAAAAGTAATTTTAAAATGTTTTCATTTTGTATAGGAAAAGACCTGTATGAATGAAATGATCAAATTTTAACTTTCATGCCTACGCAGTGACAATGTAAGGCTTTTTTCTTTTAACAATAAGAAACTAAGAAAAGAATCTCAGAGGAATTTTGCTATGTTTATAAACGTAATAAAATTCGGTCAATTGTCTTTCTTAAGGAAAATGCTGTTGAGTATAAACCATGCTTTGAGTTGGCAGTAGCCTTTATTTAGAGTTCCCCATGACCTTTGAAGCAAACATTAACTGAATACATGATCTTGTTATGGGGTATATAACTTCACAAAATGCCTTGGCATAAAATATTTATAAAAAGAGTTGTGCGTTAAAATACTTAAGTATACTTTTTAAATTTAGTTAAAATGTCAATGCCTGGCTCTTTTTCCTCCTTGTATAATTCAGCAGAGAATACTTGATTCTTACAGCCATTACCACTCTGTCTGTGAGGGAAGATTCACTGCTTCTGTGCTGTGCTCAAGATAAAACCAGCAAAGGAAACAACTGCATGTTCCCTCACAGAACTGCATCAAAGCTCTCTGTTGAGCAATGGTGATATGAAGGTGTAGAATTGAATTACTGAAGATAATGTGATAACATTTCAACATTACTTGCCTTACAAATTAGAAAAGATGTTGAAAATCTTTTTTTTTGTAAATAATGGTTTTTACACATGTTTTTTTTCTTCATAAGTTTCCCCATGACCCATTTCACAAAATCCTGAATATGCAATTATTTATTATGGCACATTAGTGCAAGGATCCCCATTTCAGAACAAAGTTTAAATATACGTGAGAACAAAATGAAATATCTGAGTAAGTGGTTATTTAAATGTGATTTTTTTTTCAGAAAAAATAAATGAGAGACATAAAAATAAATTCAATTGTGAACTTCTTTATTATACCAGCCTCTTACAATTGGGCCCACATTACTGGCAAACTTGATTGCAGGTTTAGGGTGGGCGAAGTAGGAAAAAGCTCTGGCAGAGTGCAAGGGCTTTGTAGTGGGACAAACCCCAGGTCTATAATTTAACGATAGACTTGAGCTTGTTACTGAATCTTCATTTCCTTACCTTAAAATAAAAAATGGAGTTACTAATGTCGCCTTATAGGGCCATTGAACAGATTAAATGAGATAGTATTTATCAGTCCCCTATCCCATCCTACCTAGTGTTCAGCAGGTCTTCAATAAGCAATACTTTTCTATTCTTCTCTTTCTGTGAACAGGGATTGAAATGGGCCCAAAAACTTTAATGTTCTTTCTCAAACACTAGCGTAACCCTTAGAGGCTCTACTGTTACCTCACTGTATTGCTGTTGTCAGCTAATACTAACTGCATTGAGCACTCCTCAAGGGACATGTGCCAGGCTGGACGCTTAGAAGCACTACCTTCTTTGTACCTGCAGTGATCGCCCGCTAAGTGAGGATCCATTCAGTCTGGTGGTGTTTGCTCTTAGGTGGGGGACGGGTTCTGGGATTAGGAAGGCGATAGTTATTAAGGAGAACGGGTCTATTAGTTGTGTCAGGTAGGTCCTCAACCCCAAACCACCTCCGTTTCTAAGGTGCTTAAACTTTAAGGGGCTGGGAAGAGTGGTGCAGAGGAGCCAGTGAGTCCGACGGGGGTCTGGGCAATACTGTTTGATTTTCTCAATTTTCTAAATCTGTAAAAGAAGAACAGCCTTTTTTGACAGAGCTGTTGGGAGGGCTAAATAAAGCTAAAACTTGCCAGAATCAGGTAAATGTAGGCTCTTAATAAATGATTCCTCTTACCCACCAGCTGCGCCTTGGAAGGGGGTGTTGGAAAGCTGCGGCGGGACCGTGGGGAGATGGCTTTACTTTTTCTTTGGCCTCGGATTTGCGGTCGTAGGAACCTGCAGCATTTCCCACTCCTGCCCCCTGATATCGGCGGGCAAAGGAACGGGATGAGGACTCTCCGGGGCTGCATCTTGGGTTTCAGATGTCCTCCTCGGTTTAGCGTGAACCGGTTTCCCCTCTGACTCACTGCCACTCCAGGGAGCCGCCGAGCTTAGGGCGGTCGCCTCTGGGCGGCGACGCTGAGTCCTGGACATCCTTAGGGCAGCTCAGGGGACCAGGCAGCTACTCTGTCGGCCCAGGGAGGGCGGAGGGCTCTGTTTGGAGGAGGTCACCCTGGAGACACGCCGCGGAGTCCGAGGGGGCTGCGAGAGACGCCTGGGAGCAGGGAGCCTCGCGCCGCGCTGGTGTCTGCAGCGGACGAGCTGAAGGGCTGGGAGGCCCCCGGCCGCGGTGCCCCTGCAGCTGCGGCCCCTCGGTAGGTGAGCGCGACCTCTGCGCAGCGCACCCGGGCCGGGGCGGGAGAGGAAAGACGACTGCAAGTTCGAGCACAGCACGGGCAGAGGAGGGAGGGCCCTGTGTTGAGAAACGGCCTACCTGCATTGGCCACCACCTCTGGGACGCCTTCCTTTTCTTGGCCCCAACAAATAAGAAGAGTGGCCCCCAATTTGGGAGCTGGAAGTGGGTTCTGGTCTTTGGTCACCGGCCCACCTGGATGTCTGGGCTCTATTGTGATGCTCAGTCCAGAGGCCAGCCCGGTCTGCTCCTGGGGCAGCGGGAGTCCTGGGCAGTCTTCCCGAGGCCAGCCCGCGGACTCTAGGCAACCGCAAGCCCTCTGGACCTCCAGGGACCAACTCTAGCCTTCGGGGCAGCTTGGGAAACAGGCGGGCAGACGGAGGTGTGCCGGTGTCCCTTTGGATAGAAGCCTGAATGACCCACTTAATCAGTCTCAGTGTGCCTCGTCCACACACAGAGACACACTCACACAGACACATGCACACACGCAGATGTTCAGACGCTCATCCACATAGACACACACAAGCACACACTCACACACCCATGTATAGATGCTAATACTCATACATACAAGCACACACACACACAGGTGCTCATACAATGGTTCCCACATACATTCAGCACATAGATACTTCATACACACTCACAAAGGCACACACTCGGGGAAACACAGATAATTTTTCACACAGATTTACATGAGATGCTCATGGGTATACCTAAGGACACACTTACATTCACGTACACAGACTCACTCACTGATACAACTTCACACACACATGGGGACTCAAACTCACACACAGGCATGTGTCCACAGAGAGACACACATGCACACATACAAAGTTGTACACACACTCATGTACCTACCCTCATACACAGGCACACAATCACACACAGACCACTGGCTCCCTTCCCGGTACACAATGCCCCTCTGCCATGTTCCTGCGCCCTTCAGGACCCTTTGTCAGTCTCTGCCATGACACTGGTCACACTGGGCTTTAGGTTGTGTCCTTGACTGCCCTGCCCACTCATTCGCCAGCTCCTTCAAGGCAGATACTCTGTGTTAGTTCTGTTTTAGTGTTAGGCCTGGTGTCTCCTTGTCAGGGCCCTCAGATTTACAGGTTATAAAATAATTTAAATGAATATCTAAATTTGTATGTAGGCAATAGGGCAGTAGAGTTATAGTCTAAGTTCCGGGAGGTCCATTCCTACTACCAGCTTTTAAACAAACAGTTGTAAGAAAGAGATAAGTGTTCCAATAAATTACTGAGTTAAAAGTTAAGTTCTTTTTACTCTTCACAAAGCAAATCATGGTTGCTTGAAAAAAATACCTTTTGGGGAAGACAATTTTGATTTTTGAAGAGCAACAACAATAAATATTAATTAGCAAAACTTTATCAAGAATAAATGAGAGCAATAAAAATTATCGATTTCTGGTGTGGGATAATGTCTTTCTTCTACACATGGCTTTCTTTTCTCAGTGATGTTAACCTCTTCTGCAGTTTAGCATTTCTGCTGTAGTTTAATATCTGCTTACATGAAGTAAGTATACTATTGCATAAATAAAAGTTGTCAGGGTTATCATATTTCTAGTTGTACTGACCAGAATAACAGCATACATTAAAAATCACTCTTAAGGAAACCCCACTTCCACGTTCAAAAATGATAGAAAAAGTAGCCATGTACATTATTTAGAATGAATCTGTGTCATACTAACTAAAATATCTTCGGATCTTTCATCTGCTGCTTTAATGGGATTTTCTTCCATAGGGTATGATGATGTCAGACATTACTAAGGACAGAACGGCTCATTCATTGAAGAAAAGGGGAAGTTCCTCTTCTCTAAGCAGGAAGGAGCTTCATGGGCGCACCAAGGAGTGAGTAACTAAATATCTAATGAGTTAGTTTAATTATTGAATAAATAGGTTCGTAATGTTTATCAGGAGAATAATAAAACATATCCTTTGGGAAATAAAAAGATAGAAAATGGACAACAGAAGGTTCAGGTCATCTTTCGGGGCCATATTTTAAAAAAGAAAGAAGAAGAAAGTGAGAAAACATAAATGATATGTTGTTCTCAGCAGCACTTTCAACTGTTTCAAAGACTACCCTCCCAAAATCATCTACTCAAAAGAAATACCATATGCAATGTAGACTGACTACTTCTCCTGAATCCGGATCTTCACTGTTATATAAAGACACAGTTTTTTTTTGCATTTTTGCAATCAATATATACATATACAATGCATTTAGCATTATTTTATACAAATTTTGTAATGTATTTTCATAGGCACTGTTTGTGTCTTTTTAAATAGCTGCATAATGTTTTCTGTTTATAATTCTGGGTTAGCTAACCATTCCCCAATTATTGGGCATTTTAACTTTGTTTCCATTGTTTTTCTTTTCCACTGCATAATGCCTCTCCTTGTTTTCTTCCCAGAAGTAGAATTAGTTGGACAAAGGGTAATAAGTACATTTTTTTTTTTTAGCTCTTGCTGCATATTGCATTTGGTCTCCTAAAGAGATAAATCAACTTTTAATATTTTCATGACATTTCTTTTTGACTGCCACTGGGAAGAAAACAAAACAAATTATTCAGTGCTGAGATCAATTAACTTATAGAACAGATAACAGATTTTCCTGCTTAACGGTCTCCACAGGATTGAAGGGTGTGGTGCATTAATCCCTGTGGGTGGAAACAGGAGCAAGTGTGTCCTGTGGAACAGAGACTGGAAGCACTGAATAGATTTACATTGGGACTCTGAAACCAAATCTTCCCACTCTCAGAGTGTATTGATGCACTTATTTAAAATTCCACTTTCCAACCCTGGATGTTTGCAGTTGCAAGTACGATTTCTCTCTTTTACAGACAAGAAATATAAAAGAGTAGTAATTCTAGCATGTCAGAAGCAAAGCTGGGGGAATAATTAATCTCTTGCTTTTGCTTCTGACCCTAGCCATTTGGGCTGCTATTTCCAATATTCCAATATTTTAGTACTGAATATAAAATATTCAGTACAAGGATATGTTTATTACTTTTAGAGAGAGATGAAGGGGGAGAGATTAAAAAAAAAAAAACCACTGATGTGAGAGAGAAACATTGATTGGTTGCCTCCCATACGTGGCCTGACGAGGGATTGAAACCACAACCTTTTGGTGCCCGGTATGACACTCACAGAGGACGATGCTCCAACCCGCTGAGCCACCTGGCCAGGGCCATAAGAGTTACTTTAAAAATTATTTTAAAATAATTGTTAGCTTAAATTCAACTTTTTTCAAGAAAATATTTATAATAATAATCTGACATACATCATGCTCCCATGATTAATGAAAAACAACTTCTCTCAATCAAAGTTTAAACTACTATCCCTATTTACACAATTTTCATTGTTTTCTTCCCTTTCAAAGCAAATTAGAAAGTCACGTGGAATCAAAACATGGCCCAATTTGAAGAATGAGAGATCACTCTTTTCTTTATTGATGATATATGAACACAAACTAAAGTAACACAAATAACGAAAATAGTTTTATCAACATATTAGGATAGATTTCTCACTAACAGATACTTTTTTTTGATATATTACATAGTAGAAATTTGAACTCTCAAACAAGACATTCAGAAGAATCATCCACTTGCCCTTTTTCTTGAGTAGCAAGTGAACAACTTCCACATACGCTCGCAATGCAGAGGCCAGTCGGGAGGCTTCGTCCCGCTCCATCTCCTGCCTGCTTCTCTCTGCCTTCATCACTGTCTTAGGCCAGACTGCACGGGCGATTCCCCTCCATGAACCTGTCATCAGCTAGTAGAAAAATTCGGAAAGTTTAGTGGCTATCAAATGCAGGCATTGTTTTGAAATTGCAATGTTTTATGAAAAAGCATATACCTTTCATTTGAAAGTTATTTCAGAACAATTTTTGAATAGATCAACTTCAATAGTATAAAGTCTATCCTGAAGTATATTGCGGACCTAATACCCCATCTCTTTTAATCTCCCCAGCATTAACTCTACTAGGTGGGCACCACTTTTACCATCTTACTGTGAAATACCTGCGGCTTACAAATCAAGCGACAATTTAATGACTAGGATACAATCCTAAACCATGAGTATGGCACATAGCAGCGATTTCAAACCTTTTCATCTCATGGCACACATAAACTGATTACTAAAAGTCTTTGGCATCCCCAAAAATATATTTTTTGCCAATCTGACAAAAAATTTGGTATAATTTTGATTTATTCATACCAGATGGCTATTGTTGTGTTGACTGTTGTCATTTTCTTTATTTGACAATCTAAAGGAATAGGGGTCAGTGCCCCTGACTAAATAGTCAGATATTGAATGTTTTAAAAATTCTTGCAGCACACCCATTGAAAACCCTGACACAGAGCGTCTACAGGCCCTTGTCTACTTCTCTGTCACCACCTTCCCCACTGTCCTGCGAGCATCTGCTCTCCAGCCACACTCAGCTCCCACATTATAATCCCTCAGTGCTCTCTCTTGTCTCCAGCCATTGCCTTCTGTTTCTTTCCCATGGGCCACCCTTATCTGGAATATTTTCTCACACTCTGGCTTCCTGCTCTCCTCCTTCAGAATTTAGCTCCATCTCCATCTCTCCAGGAAGCTTTCTCTAACAACCCACCTACAACAACTTGCACTTCTAGACTGGGTTGGACACTCTTTCTTTCTGCTCTTGCTGCTTACCTCTTTTCCATGGTGCTGTATTTGGATGGTTTTTTGTCTTTCTCTCTCATTAGACTGTAGATTTATTTGCCTTTATAGCAGTAAGTACATAGATAAGGAGAGCAAAGAAGAGTAGAATGTATCTACTTAGCAGCTTCATAGGTGTGGTATAAAATCAGCATAAATTTAACCCTGTGGCTTCTATGTCTACGGTATTCTACAGCAGTGACTAATGCATAACGTGGATCCCTGGGCAACATAGATATCCAAAGGGACTTTTGAATTGTGACAGGAAGATAGAATTTATAGTTGATATCATTAACAGTTTTTAGGGTTGAGTGTTTTTATTTAAATTATGTTTTCATTCTAATATAATTTTGTTTTATTTTTTTTAAACTTTTTAAGCTGGATCTCATTATCTCAATATTTTAACTGTTAACATGTCACCATTTCTTTCTGTATGTACCTACATGGTTGTCATCATACTTTGTATCTCACTTATATAATTAGTAGCATTAAGGGTGATAATAGCTGACCTTTATTGAGCCCTTACTATGACATCACTTAAGTCTCACAGAAGCTCTGTTACAGAGGATGGCAACTATGGCCCAGGAGCCAAGTTCAACCTACCACCTGTTTTTGTACTGTTCCCTAGCTAACCATGGTTATTACATGGTTGAAAAAATATCAAAAGGAGAGTAATATTTTTTGTTATGTGACAATCATAAAAAACTCAAATTTCAGTATCCATAAATACATTTTTATTGGAACATATGCATGCCTTTTCATGTATGTATTGCCTCTGGCTGCTTTCATACTAAAACTATAGAGTTGAGTAGTTGCTATGGAAACCATAGGTCCCAGAAAGCCAAAAAACATTGCTATATGGAATTTCACAGAAATGTTTGCCAACCCCTGCTCTGTAAGATAGATGCTATTATCATGTCCAATTTATAAATGAAATAGATGCTTAGAGAAGCTGAGCCTCCAGAGCCACAGAATTAGCAAGTGGCAAAATGGGCTCTTGTTTATAGTCAAGTATTCTCATTCTTTGAAAATTGGCTATCTTTGTGTAACTTGCATTAACGAAATTCTTCTATTCATTTACCAGAACCTTCTGTTTCCCATCCCTGGGTAAGAGCAGGTACTTACCATGACATCTTTCTTGTTGGAAGCTCAGCCTACGGCAGCCTTTGGCAGCCTTTGAACAGAATTTGACCAGATGTGCTACTCTCATGTTCTTAAAATGGAAATTGAAGCATGAGGTTAAGTTACTTTCCCAGGATCATGTGACATGATATCCAGGCTTATTATCTCTGAGTCCAGTAGTTCAATTAGTAGGTCAGTCCTAAAGTTAATGATGAAAGAGTCTCTATTTTGCCTCCAACCAAAATTACAGTGATGTCCTGTTACATGAACTTCAAGTATGAATCCTGCAGCTTCACTTGAACCCACTGGTGGCATCTAATACATTATATTGTTTCACTTATTCATGTATTCAAGTTCATTGAGCTTGTATTCTACATGAACTATTGTGCCATGTTAGGCATATAAAGGTGACTGACTGTAGGGTTCTACTCTGGAGGAGCTTGTCTTTAAGTAAACAAAATATCACCTGCTAATTTTTTTTCCTGCAAAAAATAGAAAACATTGTATTTATCACTTTATTTGAAATAAATATTTATTGACCCTGAGTACATTCCAGGCACTGGCTAAGTGGTGAACGACACAGAAATAATCCCTGCTTACATGATTTAGAATCTTGTAGGAAAGGCAGTGAACAAATAATTTTAAGTGTAATGAATTTATTCTATGATGTGCAGTTAAAAATGACATTGCCTGGCCCGTTTCCTCACTGTGATCATTTCTATTGCCATTTAAATCAAACTAAAGTCCCCAAAAAGATCTGGATGAGATACAGCTTCCACACCAAAGAGAGAAGTTTAAGAAAACTGAAATGCCCATGTTCTGAGATTAAACCACAATAATAACTGATATTATGTTGTACTTACTGGATTTTTAAACCATTTCACGTACAATACCCCTCTGCTTCTCATAAAAACCCTGTGGGTTAAGTAGAGAAGATAATTTTATTATATCCGCTTATCTCATTTATTATCATATTTATCTCAGGCGCAGAGTTGAGTTGAACATATTTGTTATTTCCTAACACATTTTCACCATCGATATGGGCA